ATTGAAGCACACATTGCGACGGATCTGCACTCCAACTGCGTGAATTCGCATTCAACAAATTGAGGCTTTCTGATTCAGTGCTTGCTGAATGGGTTGTTGTTGTGATTGTTGCTGTTGCTGTTGTTGTTGTTGTTGCTGCTGTTGTAGGCAGAGAGGATTTCGTGATAATGCACTACGTAGAATACAATTCTCACATCGCAACTGCTCGATCTGTGCGCTTAGTTCATCACGTTTCCGTATCTCGGCTCGACTATTCTCTACCAAAAGCATTTTTGCGACCGATAACGCTGGCTCTTTCAAATTTTCTTCCAACAATTTCTCCAGTGATAAAGCTGCAAATTTGAAACGTGTAGCTTATGGACACTGATAAGAGAATCATCTATTCAGTGCCAAATCCAATCAGATACGTCGTACTAATCTCTCAAACGAAGCGCACTTCAAACTCATCAGTTGAACGAGAAGAGAAGTATGATATAAATGTGATCCATTAATTTGCTTCAATTGGAAAATCAGATTATTTGTCAGAGATGATCAACTTTAAGAGCACTACGAAAGCAAATAACACAACGAACCTGAGCTTAACGGATTAATGCTAGCGCTGAGTGTAAAGTCACTGGACGCAGTCAGCTTCTTGCCCAAGCTTCCACTCGGATCATCACCCATAAGGCAAACTTCATTTTTGACAGCTACTGGTTTTATGAGTCGATGATCACTTCCCATTCCACAGGCAATGCTATCGGCCTCTTGCAGTCGTGATAACGGCGAAATATCTAGGGCGCTTTTTGATGAAGTTGTCGCCGAACCGATTTGCATCGAGGTTGACTGCTGCGACTGAGAAAGGGATTGCTGTTGTTGTTGTTGTTGAGCCTGAGCTTGATGGGCTTGAGCCGTGCACGAAGCTGAGGTGGCAGCATTAAGAGGTAGTTGAGATGCTGCGGCTGCAGCGAGTTGCAGAGCGAATATGGACTGCAGTTGAGGGGGTAAAGACGAGCACATCTGCGACGTTGTGGCCACATTCAGCATCGACGATGTGGACGCGCCATTGGCGTTGATCAACTGAGGAATCATCGTGGCTCGTTGAGTCATCAGTTGTTGAAGATCATACAACGATTGTTTTTGCTGTTGTTGAGCGGTTTGCAATTGCGGCAATTGTGCCTCGAGACCAATGATTTTCAATGGAAGACCGTCACTATCGTACAACAACTGAAATTTTCACTTGTTTCTTTAGTCTTTCTTGCCTTAGTTTGAAGGCATTTGGTCGCCTTCAGAATGAAGTAAGAAAACGGGTTTCAAACGTGTAAAATTGAAAAATCGTCAATGAAATTCATTCGTCGATTTTCACTCTAACGTAAGTGAGTTTTATTAATTTTCATATTCACACTTATTGTTAGAGAAATGATGAGAAGTTGATCGTTGAATGATCAAAAGAAAGATTTCTTTCTTTCTCATTTTTTTTTATTGTTTGTTGATGAAATCCAGTTACTCAGCTACCCTCTTGTGAAATTTGTTTGCATTAGATTTGTCAGCAATTCAGTGGGCAGAAGTTTGAGTGTGATTCATTGCGACACAACAGAAAAAAACATTGCGATATGTAGCAAACAGCTTTGGCATGATGCAAACGCCGTGCATTTTTTCATGCTGATTTGAGAGTGCAAGATTTAATTAGTGCTGCTGCGTTCAAACGACATATGCATGGAATTATCCTCAGAATCAGTTTAATTCGCATATTAAGATGGGTGTTTATTTATTTAAGCTGATTACGCAGGTGAACGAGTCAGTGGGTGAATATATGAAAATAAAAACGAACAAATTTATAAAGTACAATCATCGAATGTTTTTACATGCATGTGCATAAAGGCAAATTGCTGTGCAACAACTTATCAGCTCCACTATGTATTTTACCGATAAAAATTTCATTATAAAAGTATAATTGACCTCAATATCTCTAACATTATTATTGTTGTTATTGCCTATTATAATTAAGTATCCGTTTCATTCAGCTAATCGGTTTTCAATTTGATTTCAACGCGCAATTAAAGTAACATTCATAATCCAATACTTCAGCAATGTAATTACATTAATTTGATATATACGATGTATGT